ACTCACATATAAACACACACACTTACATATAAACACATACACACTCACATATAAACAGACACACACACACACGTATAAACACACACACACACACTCGCATATAAACACACTTGCATAGAAACACACACACACTCACATATAAACACACACACATATAAACACACACACATATAAACACATACACACTCACATATAAACACACACACACTTGCATATAAGCACACACACACTTACATATAAACACACACTTACATATAAACACACACTTACATATAAACACACACACATATAAGCACACACACACTTACATATAAACACACACACTTACATATAAACACGCACACACATATAAACACGCACACATATATAAACACGCACACACATATAAACACACACACATATAAACACACACATATAAACACACACACACACACTTACATATAAACCCACACACTTACATATAAACACACAACAACAACAACAACAACCGCCATTCGCCACTAAGTGGCGGTGACGTCACCACGACGCTTGTGCCAGGCTATGTGCACCCTGAGGCCACGTGAAGTGTCGAACGCCCGCTGGCAGGAGGTCACGGGGCAGACCCAGGTGCCACGGGTCGACTGACTGAGATGACTGGCTGATGCACCACCTGTGCCCCCTACTGTGCCAACCTGCTGTGCTTTAGCCACCCGACGCTCCGCTCGCTGTTGTGAGCGTCGCTCCTCCGCCCTCCGTTGTTGTTGGAGGGCGACTGCCTCCAACTGCCCAGTAGCATCCTTCACGAGCCTCCTCCACAGAGGCCGATCTTGACACCGCTGGTACCAGTCATCGGCAAGTCCACTCAGCTCCACGTCCTCCTGTACCACATCACTCCATCTCTTCTCTAGCCCGTGCCGCGCCCGCTTAGCCCCCTCAATCCGGCCAAACAAAAGCTGTTTCGGCATGCGGTGGCTGGGCATGCGGGCTACATGACCCAGCCATCGCAGCCTTGCCTGCCGGAGGAGCTCACCGATGGGACCCTGCCCAGATCTTTCAAGGATTTGTGAGCTCCTCACACAATCCAGTCTGGTTAAACCCAGGATGGATCGTAGGCAGGTCAGCCTAAATGTTTCTAACCGGCGAAGATGTTCCATTAGGGGGGTCCACGTTTCGCAAGCGTAGAGAAGGGAGGGAATGACCGTGGCCGAGAAGACCTGAAGCTTAGTGCGGAGCGACAGACCAGGTAGCTTCCACACAGCGTTACGCAACCGATGAAAAGATATTGCCGCTCGACTGATTCGGAGTGAGACCTCTGCTGTTAAACTGGAGCCAGTCATAAGCACACTGCCCAGGTATGGGAAACTCTCCACTCTCTCCACAACTGCCCCATCACCGATTGGGAGTTGTGGGGGTGGAGTGTCCGATGGTACAAAATACCCAGGCAGGTGCTTAGTTTTGGTGGGGCTGATGGTAAGGCCCCACCTCTTAGTGGCACGCTCCAGTCTCAGCAGCAGCGTCTCCAACTCCTCCTCTGACTGAGCAGCTATTACCAAGTCATCAGCATACATAACGTGGTTGAGCAATAGGGAGCCATCCCTTGACCGCACCCGGGCATCGATTAGCCTCCCATTATATCTGTACCATATGGAGATTCCCCCGGTACAGCTATTGAAGGCTTCACGAACTACGTGGTCAAAATAGATGTTAAATAATGTGGGAGCCAGAGGACATCCCTGTCGCACCCCAAGGTGTACAGGGAATGGCTCTGACTCCCGGCCACGTAGTTTTACCCGGGCCCGCTCACCATCATGAAGGTCCTTAATGATCGTGAGCAGAGGGTCAGGTCCTCCAAAAGCACGAAGAACGACCCAGAGCCCAGGCCTACTGATGGTATCATAGGCCTTGACCAGGTCAATAAAGCAGAGATGTAGGTCTTGTTGGAATTCCCTACACCTCTGCTGTAGCAGACGGACAGAAAATATGGCATCTGTGCAGGACCGCCCTTTCCTGAAACCGCATTGGGGCTCCGCAAGCCTCTCCTCAGCGTGCCTGGCAAGGCGATGCTGAATAATCCTTGCCAGGACCTTTCCCGGCACACTGAGGAGTGAGATGCCCCTGTAGTTGTTACAGTCTGTGCGGTCCCCCTTCTTAAAAAGGGGGACCACCAGGGCATCCTTCCAATCCTGCGGAACCCGTCCAGTGGTCCAGACTGTTGTTATGATGTCATATAGGGCAGTCTGTGCACAAACGCCACCCTCCCTCAGCATTTCGCTTGGGAGATCATCTCTGCCCGCTGCCTTTCCTGGTCTCAGACTCCGGATCGCCTTCAATACTTCCTCAGCAGATGGCACCTCAGCCAGCCACTCACAGGGGGTGACTTCATCCAATATTTGAGGCACCGCAGCCTCAGCAGGGTCATCCTCACTTTGTGCCACGATGTTTTCCTGGCTGAGGGATTTTCCCTCCCCCAGGACCTCACAGAAATGCTCAGCAAATCTGCGAACCTGTTCCTGGGGGTCGGAAATTGGATCACCGTTTTTTCCCCTAATGATGGTAATAGGTGTGGCGCTGCAGGTTACTTTTTTGATGGAGTTAAATAGAGATTTGTGATCACGGGCCACTGAGGCAGACTCCATCTCCTCAGCAACCCGCGACCACCACCCATCCTTGCAGCGCCTCACGGCTCTCCGAACCTCCGAGCGAAGGCTGCGGTAAGCCTCCTCATTCTCTGACGTGGGATTCTGTAGCCGATGACAGTGGGCCTGTCGCTTTTTCTCAACCATCCTGAACAACTCCTCTGTCATCCAGGGTGTCTGGGGAGGTCTGGACCGCGTACCCAAAGCAGCCATTGCAGCTGCATGAGTCACAGTCCTAAACCTCGCCCATTTACCCTCGACATCAGGAGGAGTCGGGGACGATGCCAATCCCAGCCGCAAGCGATGATGAAATTCTCGCTTGCAACTTTCATCAGATAACTGAGACCAGGCCACTTTAGGTTGGAATGGGGTCCTGGGTGTACACCCACCACCGGAGTGGAAGAATGGCAGGCGCATCTTACAGATGACTAGTCGATGGTCAGAGGGCAGATCGGCTCCACGGTAGGTCCTGGTGTCAAGGACATGGGCTCGCATTCGCTGGTCCGTCACTATGTAGTCCAGCAGATGTTCTTGCTTGGACCCGGCATGCATCCATGATGTTGTGTGGATGCGCCGATGCCGGAACAGCGTGTTGGTAATTACAAGCCCATGGGCTGCACAAAAATCTAGCAGCCTCCTACCGTTGTTATTGAGCTGATCTGGCCCATGCCCTCCAATCACTCCAGACCAGGTGCCAGTATCATGACCAACTCGGGCATTGAAGTCACCCAACATGATGACTCTATCCCGAGGGGCCACTTTAGCCAGCACCTGTGACAGGAGGTCATAGAAGGCATCTGACTCATCGGCTTTGCCTGCATCCCTCCACGGATGTTCATCTTCGGTGGGGGCATAAGTAACCACGACCACCATTCCTCGCCTCCGGTTGATGGGAAGGCGAGCCCAAAGTAGCCTGGGGCTTACAGCTTCCCACACCTCACCGCCACGCTCCCACGCCCCCTTCATTCTTTTATTCAAAAGAAGACCCACACCCTGTTGTTTGGCAGTCTGCTGCCCCGAGTAGAGGACTGTCCACCCCTCATGGTAGCAGGAGCCAGAGCCGGTCCACCGGACCTCCTGAATGCCGCATAGATCCAGGCGGTACCGGTCCAGCTCCCGACAGAGGAGTGGCAGCCTCTCCTCTGCAGTGAGCGTTCGAACATTCCACGTGGCCACCCGTAGTGGCTTTTCGTTGTTTCTGGAGTAGCCCCGAGGGTAGGTATTCAATCTCCTGGCTCCGCCAATTGGGGTTTGGCCAGGAGACGTCATAGACGCCTGGCCCCCCGGGGCCTCCGGCACAAGCTTAGTTGTTACATATTTCACTTTAATTCGTGGTTTTGTGGTAATTAATTGAAGGTGGAGGGGTTACCAGCCCCTCGCACCCGTCCAGAGCCCCCGTTTAGCCCCTGTGGTGGACACATATGCCATGAGGGGAGGAGCCAATCAAAATTGGAACTCCCCCCACAGCACTGTCCACGACAGAGTTGCCCGTCCGGCACCGCGAGGAGGTAGGGGGTTGTTTTTGCCAGACACACACATATAAACACACACACTTACATATAAACACACACATATAAACACACACACACACTTACATATAAACACACATACAACAACATAAACCTGAGACCACACAACCACGAATGAGAACCGAAATGACTCTTCTCTGTGGCCACTCGGGACATTGAGTATCGATTAGACCTCCCCCCCCCCCGCCACTAATTAGTGACTCCACCTAGCCCGAGTAATAATTACACCAATTATCACCCCCATACTTATCCCGTTCTCCAGAAGTGGATGAATCATCGACAACAGTTTGCTGGCATTTTGCCTCTGAGTTGTGGCTGTTAAGGCAAATAAATCGATATGAGCGATGGGACACAGCAAGAGTTTGAATCACGGTCAGTGAAGCGATGTGAAAGGAGATGGGGAGAGTGCGTGGAGGTGAGTAGAGTGAGATGAGAGGGGAGAGGTAAGAGAGTGCGTGGAGGGGAGTGGAGTGAGATGAGAGGGGAGAGGTAGGAGAGTGTGTGGAGGGGAGTGGAGTGAGATGAGAGGGGAGAGGTAGGAGAGTGCGTGGAGGGGAGTGGAGTGAGATGAGAAGGGAGAGGCGGGAGAGAGCGTGGAGGTGAGTAGAGTGAGATGAGAGGGGGAAGGTGGGCTGGAGGGAGCCCATGGAGGATATTGAAGACGCTAAGGGTGACCTCGTGCGGAGGGATCCGAGTCGAGGTGTCGCTCGCGAGTGCCGGCGAGAAGTCTGGCGGCGGCATTTTGGATCGTCTGAAATGCGACGGTGCGCGATTTGAGGAGGCCGTGGTGGTGGAGGAGAGAGGGAGCTGTGGTGACATCTCCCCTCCCCGTGGCTCCCCTCTCGCCGTGTCACAGCAAGTGCGTCTCGCCCACGAGTTCGAGGCGCTGGTGCGGGCGGACGAGAGGTTCGAGGTGTGTGCCACGGTCGTCCTCGGCCTCGTCTGCTTCCGTCTCAAGGTTCGCCGCTCCCCTAGGCCGTCTCCACCGGCACAACCGAGCCGCGCCGGCCCCGTGCCGCTGACGTCACGGCGCGACCGCAAGAATTGCGGACGACGCGGCGGTGACGTCGCGTGACCTCACAGGGGGTGCCCGGGGTTGTCTGTCCAATCATTTGTTCGCGTGCGTGAGCGCTTTCCCTTTGCTGCCACCGCCGTGGGGGGGCGGTGTTGGGGTGGTGGGGGGGTGGTGGTGGGGGGGTGGTGGTGGGGGGGTGGAGAGGTGGTGGTGGGGGGGTGGTGGTGGGGGGTGGTGGGGGGTGGGGGGGGTAGCGTGACGGTTCGCGAATTGTACGATTAACTCGGTAACCCGAGTTCGATTCCCGCTTGCAGCCAACACTGGTAACGATTTTCCGAAACCAGTTCTGGGCCTCCCCTAGGTCGACTCTGCCTCAAATGAATATCTGGTGCGATGTGTAAACATCGCCACTGCGGAGACAAAGGCGGCCGGGCGTGGTGCTGGCCACCCACCCCGTCGTGTCCCACCGTGCCGGCCTTCATAGGTGCTACTCGCTAACAGCACTTGCCCCTACAGTCTGTTCCAGGCCACACGCGCGATCTTTGTCTCTGTTTGGTGGCGGCCGCCACCTGCAGGGCCCGGACGACCTCAACGAGACGCTGCTCAAGGACATCAACGGCGAGCGCGCCGTGCACCTCGTCCCCTCGCGCCTGCACGGCCGCTTCGTGCTGCGCTTCGCCGTCTGCTCGAGCCGCACGCGCAGCCACGACGTCGCCTTCGCCTGGGCCCAGGTGCTGCGCGTCGCCGCCGCCCTCACGCAGGGGGGGCCCGGCCCGCAGGGGGAGCCGGGGCGCGAGGCCGCCGGACGGCAGACGGCCGGAGGCCCACGCTGACGGAGCGAGACGGCCCGGGTGCAAACGGGAGCATCGAGAAGAAGGCAGCGCCCCGAACGCCGCCCACACACGAGCCCTAACCACACGAAGCACCCAGACACGAGCCTTAACAATAACCACATTAGCCAGCCAGACTCTAGCCCGAGCCCTAACCACACGAAGCACCCAGACACAAGCCTTAACAATAACCACATTAGCCAGCCAGACTCTAGCCCTAGCCCTAACCACACGAAGCACCCAGACACAAGCCTTAACAATAACCACATTAGCCAGCCAGACTCTAGCCCTAGCCCTAACCACACGAAGCACCCAGACACAAGCCTTAACAATAACCACATTAGCCAGCCAGACTCTAGACCGAGCCCTAACCACACGAAGCACCCAGACACGAGCCTTAACAATAACCACATTAGCCAGCCAGACTCTAGCCCTAGCCCTAACCACACGAAGCACCCAGACACAAGCCTTAACAATAACCACATTAGCCAACCAGACTCTAACCCTAGCCCTAACCACACGAAGCACCCAGACACAAGCCTTAACAATAACCACATTAGCCAGCCAGACTCTAGCCCTAGCCCTAACCACACGAAGCACCCAGACACAAGCCTTAACAATAACCACATTAGCCAGCCAGACTCTAGCCCTAGCCCTAATCACACGAAGCACCCAGACACGAGCCTTAACAATAACCACATTAGCCAGCCAGACTCTAGCCCGAGCCCTAACCACACGAACTACCCAGACATGAACCTTAACTCTAAGCACATTAGCCAGCCAGACTCTAGCCCTAGCCCTAACCACACGAACCACCCAGCCACACACGAGCCATAACTACACTAACCACCCATACTTTACTCCTAACCCTAACCACACTAGCCAGCCAGATCCTAATCTACTTCTAACTCTACTCCCATCCCCAGGTTTTTCCAGATTTTTCGTTTTCACTTTTAAAGGTCACAGTCCCCGCTCCGTCACAACACCACGTGTTCAGTGTTCAGTGAGCCGAAGTGTTTTGCCCGTGTCGTCGTCGTCGTCGTCATCACAGAGGTGGCCTCCGTGGCTCACAGAGACGCTGAGATCCTGGTTTCGAATCCGAGTTTCGAATCCATGACCTTGGCCAAGCAGGGTGGCGGTGGTGGATACGCACACGTGCCTGCTTACAATCCAGCACCGTGGTGGGGGAGGCAGCGAGGGTTGGTGGATCACCGCATGAATGCCAAAATATCACGACGCTACCTTCCCGTGCGCATCGAGGAGGTACCCCTGGCTCGCCAGCTGAACGCAGCACAGCGAAGTGTGGACTCATAACGCCTGTCCCTTCTGTATGGCGGGATAGAGTGTTGCCCCCTCGCATGCGTGAGTTTTCTCCGGGTGCCCGCGCTTTCCTCCCACGTGTAAAATAATCACTCGCTGCGAATTGCCTTGAAACATCTTAGGACGTAGAGAACTGCAGAGCGAGCGTTGGTAACGCCGGTGCAGCGCCTGGCTGCAGCCTTCCAGCTCGGTCTGTGGTTCCTACTCTGCGATTGTCCGATGCAAAATTGCGTGAACGTCGACGCGACACAGCAAACCCTTGCCCGTCGCGGGCGTTACGCGATCCGCAAACTCCCGAGGCACCCCCACGACACCCCCACGACAACCCCCCCGCATCAACCCCCCATCATCTCGCAAGCAGCGAGTCGCGACGCGTGACGGATTGTCGCCGTCAACCGCGAATGGTTCACGCGCTCTGCACCACGACTCGTTTCAACGGCGAAACCGCGAAAGCTAAACTGGCGAGAGGGAGGGTTTTGCCGTACACAGAACTACCACTTTATTATAATTATTACTAGTAGTGTTGTTACCAAGCTCACTAATGGCTGGACTAAAACAAAACAAAATCCATCTCACTTAAGTTGGGCTCCTGTGGTGGTTTTGAGATCGACTCCAACACCAGCGAGTTCGCGGCCGCGTGCGTGAGACCCTGCGTGGGGCCCTGCGTGGCACCGCGAGGGGCCGTACGCCCCCTCGCGGTGCCACGCGCGGCTGTGCCCTCGGATGGTGGCGGGTGTGACGACACATTCTTATTTACGCGATCTCACCCAAAGCCAAAAAATATTTATCATGGATAAAATTGTTCGCGAAACCCTCCTCCTGCTACCACGACCACCAACCACTACGACGTGTTAAAGTGGTGCGAGGGTAACCCCCGTCAGGAGAACGTCGAGTGGGGGAGGCGTCCCGGGATGCTTCAGATTCCTCGGCCGCTCTCTTGGCGCGCGCGAGGTCGCCATCCATCGCCCCTCCTCGTTGTTGTTGTCGCGTAGGCAGCGGCTGTTGTTGTTGTGCTTCGGTGAGATTCCGCCAGTGGGGGGGGGACGCATTACAAAATCAAGGAACTAACGCGTCAAGATGCAATGGTGAGTTAAAATATCCAGCCGACGTGTTAAACGGAGTGCAACTCATGCACGGCCGCGCTGTGATGGGAGTGTGCGCCTGTGTCAAGATCAACATCACAGTATGTGTGTGTGTGTGCGGCAGTCTGTTTATCTTTGGGAGGGGGGGGGGGTGCAGCGGGTAGCGCTGCTCTGCAAACCTCGCGCACCCAAGTTCAACTCCTGCTCACGGCCAACACCAGTGACGATGATTTGAACCAGGTCCTGGGCCCCCCACTAAGTCGACACAGTATCAAATGAGTACCTGGTGCGATGTGTAAACATCACTACCGGGGGAGACAAAGGCGGCCGGGCGTGGTGTTGGCCACACCCACGCCCTGGTGTGCGACAGTGCCACATGTGCTCGCTAACAGCACTTGCCCCAATAGTCTGTTACAGGCTACACTTTGCCGGTGGGGTAGGGATCTATTGTGTGCACGCGTGTCTGGGTGTGCGCATGTGCGTGCCTTCTCCGTTGTGACTGTTACTGCTGATGGTGTTGTTAGTTGTTGTTGTTGTTATTGTTGTTGTTGTCGCTGATGTCACGTTGTGCCGTTTTAGCCCACGGGGCCAGGCCAGCGATCCTGTACAGACCCTTCGGTAGTCGCCGGTTGGTTCTTCGCTTGCGAAGATCGGGGAGGTACTTGAGGTCCGTGTAGTTGGCAGGCGCCGCTGGTGTCTGTACAGGGCCCATCCTTGACTTGCAACATTCCGTGGCAGGTGGTGGATCTCAACTCCAGACCAGTCAGAGTGGGGGGAGGGCGCCTCCATGTTTCTGTTGAAGCTTTGTGCCTCGTTCGGTCTGCCATTGACGCTGCTTCCTTAGCTGTGGAGCGCCAGCAACACGTTGAGTCTCACCGATGGCATTCGTGCTCCGAATAATGAGAGCGAACTTCAGCTGATTAACCCCCACCCGTTTGAAACGGTGATCAACGCCATTCGTTCACTTTGATTGGTCACGTGAAGGAATGGGAAGCGTGGCACAGCCATGCCACCTCCTCAGGTGGTACCCACAGGTTGTGAGATTCCTTGGCCTGGTCCGTGGGTTCCGTATCTGATTTGTGCAAAGCCGTGGGCCACAACAGCCAGAAGTTAATTCACGAGATGTATTTAGTGTATCTGTCAATGATTAAATAAAATTAAAACATTCAAACATCTGGCGTGGTCATCGCTTTGTGCAGCTATTGTGTGCGTGTTGAACTTCTGCCGCGTTGGTACGGAGACAACCGCGCTCATCGGAGGTGCGAGGGAACAACAAACTAAACACAACGCAGTTCTAAAGGAGTGAGTTTTCAATCCAGGTGATTTGAAAGCGCACAGCCCCGGCGGCTTCCTAATATCGGAAGGAAAGAGCGTTCCCGACGGCCGCAGAAGCGCACTTGAAAGCGCCGCGCGAGGACGGTGCTGATGCCGCTGCTCGCCGCCAGGTGGCGCGATCGCCGCGTCACCGCCCTCCAAAGCCGAGCGATGGTCCGTCCGGAGTGGCCAGCGAGTCCGTCGGCGTGAACAACAAAGCAGAGGGGCACCTCGACCAGCCCGGCGTGTGTTTGCCTCCACTCTCAGCACAAGGCTGCCCTCCTAGCCCCCACGGCTGCCTTCCTAGCCCCACACGGCTGCCCTCCTGACCCCACACGGCTGCCCTCCTAGCCCCCACGGCTGCCTTCCTAGCCCCACACGGCTGCCCTCCTGACCCCACACGGCTGCCCTCCTGACCCCACACGGCTGCCCTCCTGGCCCCACACGGCTGCCCTCCTGACCCCACGCGGCTGCCCTCCTAGCCCCACAAGGCTGCCCTCCTGATCCTACACGGCTGCCCTCCTGACCCCACACGGCTGCCCTCCTGACCCCACACGGCTGCCCTCCTAGCCCCACAAGGCTGCCCTCCTGACCCCACACGGCTGCCCTCCTAGCCCCACAAGGCTGCCCTCCTAGCCCCACAAGGCTGCCCTCCTGACCCCACACGGCTGCCCTCCTGACCCCACACGGCTGCCCTCCTGACCCCACGTCCTCCTTGACAGATCCCTACAAGTGGATGATGACTGCGGACTGTACAAGAAGTTCCGCACAGCTGCTTTGAGAGTTCCTCAATATTTGTCAATCTTGCGTCAGGTATTCTCCTTGATCATTTGCATCGTTCCGCTCATATCAAATAACCTCACCACTTCATTAGACCTCCTTTGCCAGTACCAAAATGTAATAATAGGGTTTTCCCCCTTTTTTTCTGGCAACAAAACTGAAACCTTTTTACAAGGATTCATGTCTGCATTAACCACAATACCTGCAGTCAAAATGCAAACAAAACACATACTATGATAATATATGCATTATCCTTGAAACTGATTGGTCCACACCAAGGGACGGCTTTCTTTTGAGCCTCGACCCACTCACTCACCCACTCAACTACTCATCCACTCAACCACTTACTCACCCAATCACCCACTCACTCGCTCACCTACTCAACTACTCACTCACCACACTTCTCTCTCTGCCTCTACCCTCCGCACCGCTCCACTTTGGGAATGAAGTCACTCCCAAAGTTGTGTGCACGTGGTGCTCAAAAGAAAGCCGTCCCTTGGTGTGGACCAATCAGTTTCAAGGACAATGCATATATTATCATAGTATGTGTTTTCGATTTACAGCTTTCGTGACTGCAAGGATTCATCTTGTTGGTTTTTCAGTAAAGTCACGTAGAATGAGAATAAAACAATAAAACAAAATCAGACAACAAAATTCAACATTGAAGCGCTGTCGTCCCGACGGTTCTGTTCCTTCACCTGAAGAAGGCTATTTGTGTTGTGGCCGAAACGTCGTGAGAATGTTATTGTCTTATTTTGTTTTATTGTTTTATTCTCATTCTACGTGAATTTACCGAAAGAACCAAGAAGTCTGTTTTTTGTTTGCATTTTGACTGCAGGTATTGTGGTTAATGCAGACATGAATCCTTGTAAAAGGTTTCAGTTTTGTTGCCAGAAAAAAGGGGAAAAACCCTATTATAACCTCACCACTTAACAAAACCCATTGATTCCCTCACCCACTCAACTACTCACCCATACATTCCATCACTCGGCCACCACCCACTCAACTTCTCATCCACTCAACCACCTAACCACCCAATCACTCACCTACTCAACTACTTACCCTTACACTCGGCTACTCATCCACTCAACCACCTACTCACTCGCCCACTCAACTACTTACCTGCCCAATCACCCACTCACTCACTCACCCATTCAACTACTTAGCCCCCACTCACCCACTCAACTACTAATCCACTCAACCACTTACCCACCCAATCACCCACTCACTCACCTACTCAACTACTTACCCCCCCCCCCCACTCAACTACTCATCCACTCAAGCACTTACTCACCCAATCACCCACTCACCTACTCAACTACTTACCCGCCCACTCACCCACTCAACAACTAATCCACTCAACCACTTACTCACCCAATCACCCACTCACTCACCTACTCAACTATTTACCCCCCCCCCCACTCACCCACTCAACTACTAATCCACTCAACTACTTACCTGCCCAATCACCCACTCACCTACTCAACTACTCACTCACCACACTTCTCTCTCTGCCTCTACCCTCCGCACCGCTCCACTTTGGAAGTGAAGTCACAGATGGTGGAGTTGTGTGCACGTGGTCACCCAGTATCTGCTCGGCATGTTCCACGACACGCCCTCGACTCCTTTGTAAACGTGATGCTCCATCTCAAGGGATTCCTCATCCGGGTGAAACATTTTTGCTCTCTGCATGTAATTTTAAATTAACATATTTAAATACAGTGCTGCTTGTTGCTGGCCGCTTAGCGTTTCGGGCCACATTGGCCCCGTGCTGCGAATGATGTGTGAATAATGGATGTTTAGGGTCAGTGAGCGTCGCTTAGCCGGTCCACGATGGCTGCCATCCCACACCTGGGCGGCTCCTTACCTGTCCACGTGCTGTGAGTTTATTAACGCGTGACCACGCGTATGGGAGGAGGAGGAAGAGGGGGAGGAGATGGTGGGGTGGTGGTGGTGGTGGTCGTTGTGGTTGTGTTGGGGTGCGGTAAGGTAGCGGTTAGCCGCGCTGCACTGCAAAACCGGCGAGCCGAGTTCGATTCCCGCTCACGGCCAACGCCAGCGACGATTCTCTGAACCGGTCCTGAGCCTCCCCTAGGTTGACTCGGCCTCAAAAGAGTACCTCGTGCACTGTTTGAACGTCGCCACGGGGGATACAAAGGCGGTCGGGTGTGGTGCTTGTTTTAGTTTGTTGTCCTTCCCCTGCACCTCCGATTAGCACGGTCGACTACGTACGGTGCGAAAGAAGTTCAACATCCATACGTGACCACCCACCCCCTCGTGTGCCGTGCGGGCCTCCATAGGTGATCGCTAAGAGCACTTGCCCCAAACATCCGTCGAGGCTATACGAGGGTTCTTTGGCTGTGGTTATGGTGATGCAGGAGGAGGAGGAGGAGGCGGTGATGATGATGATGAAGTCACACACCCCCAGTGGGCGGTACCGGTAGTTCTGGGGCCGCTGTTGGAGGTCGGGACAGCAGGTACCTGCAGGTACCAGCAGGGGGCGCTTCCCCGGGGCGGGGGCTTTGCGTGACCGGCCACGGCCCCCTGAGCAACGCCCGCCCGCCCGCCCGCCCTCCGCACGTCCCCCGCACGTCCCCGGCCTCTCTCTCCGCTCTCCCACCCCCGCACCAACACCAGCGCCACCACCGCCACCCACCGCGCGATCGCTCGGACGTCGGAGTGGCCGCAGAGCGGACGGGGCGAGCGGGCGAGACGGGCACAGAGGGACGCGGACAGAGAGGCGGGCGGTGGGAGCGGTCGAGGCGAGCGAGCCGGGTAAACGGAGAGGGAGAGCGAGACGGGAGGGCAGAGCGGAGGCACGCGGAGGGGGGGAACTGCGCGCAATGAAAATCTCTCGCCATTGGTGATCGTTGTAGGAGAGAGAGAGAGTGGGGGGGGTAGGTGCGAGAGAGCGGGACACGCGTAGGTAGCGGTGTTTACCCGGGGGTTTGACCTTAGTACGCGTGCCCTTTGCGCGAGGATGATGGTGGTGGTGGTGATTACGCGCGCCGTGGCTTTGCCGTAAGACATCGTTTGCTCCTCATCATCCTGCGACTCCCGTGTCTTCACCTCGTCTGAGCCTATACACTTTTTGACATCATCATCAGCAGCAGTGAGATCACTACCATCATCATCAGTGAGATAACGACCATCATCATCTCTCTGGAGGCCACAGACCTGTGCAGTGATTGCAGCTAACGCGTTGAATTCTATATCATCATCACCATCATCACCATCGTCATCACCATCGTCATCAGCTCCTTGGAGGCCACAGACTCGTGCAGTGATTGCAGCTAACGCGTTGAATTCTATATCATCATCACCATCATCACCATCATCATCACCATCATCACCATCATCATCACCATCGTCATCAGCTCCTTGGAGGCCACAGACTCGTGCAGTGATTGCAGCTAACGCGTTCAGTTCTTCATCATCGTCCTCATCACTAACAACATCGTCATATTCTTGGAGGCCATATACCGGCACATCATCTACATCATCTGAATCACCATCTCCATCATTACCACCACCACCATCATCATCTTCGTCATCATCATTATCATCTGAATCACCCGGAGCAAGCAGCATGCCTCTGAAGAGCAAATACAACCTCGTGGATGATGGATACGATTCGAGGATTCCTCTACACATCGACGATGCCTTCCACCACGGCATCCAGTTCCAGGCCAAGGTGAGACCCACCACATTCTGGCATGGGTTGGGCCGGGGGTTTGGTACCCGGTGACTCGGGGGTCACGGCCATAATGGAGTCATGGACGTTTGGGACAGGGTCGTGAGACCCACTATAGGCCGTACGGCCGTGAGACCGTAGGTCATTGGGTCAGGTCATGTGGCGAGCAGCCATGGGACTGTGAGGTCACTGGCCCATTGGGTCATGAGTCTGCTGGCCGCAGAGTCTTCACACAGGCCATAGGGTCATGGCAGTGGCCCTGGGGTCATGGTGCACCGATCCGAGAGGCTTATATGGGTTGGTATTCTTCCTTTAAAGGCCACAGCGTTGTTGACGAATGTGGTGAGCTTGATGTGTTTGTTGACGAGACTATGAGGACAGCCAGCCGTAGAGATGTCCTGGCAGTAGTTGCTGAGTCAGCTCCCGAGTCCACCCAGCTGTCTTAATTAATGGAAGACGCACTCCATGTTCCATAAGTCATCGCTTGGGCCACTTCATAATTCATGCCGCTTTCTCTGGTGGTGGTTGTGCACTTTTGGTTACGTCTACCAGGCAGGCATCTAGGATTCTAGGTGGTGATGATGATGATGATGGTGTGAAATCTAATACCGCACTTGACATTACTGATAATAATATTTGGTGATCGTCCATAATATAGATTAGTCCGTAATATAGGTTTGACAAACCTTACTAATTGGCTGTGTTGGGTGGTGGCGGGTTTTAACGACACATATATTTACGCGATCTAACCCGAAAAACTTCTATTATTATGAATTGGTGTTAGTGTTGATAATAATGATGGTGGTTATTATGATGATGATAGTGGTGATGATTGTGGTTACGATGGCCCTCTGAAAAATGATGTACCAAACGTGTTTATGTAAAGTGATGGTGGTGCTGTTGGTTCTGCTTCAGTGATGGATGATGAAATGTACACTGTCAGTAAGTGAGGTGGTGGTGGTGGTGGTGGTTTAAAATGTCTCGCTGAACTCGTGTATCTTTACATAATCGCTTGTAATGGGGGTGATTTGACGGATTATATATGTGTGGTGGTGTGATGATGGTCACTATTATGATGACGGTGGTGATTATCTGAACCGGTCATGGTCCTCCCCTCGGTCGACTCGGCCTCAAATGAGTACCTGGTGCGGTGTGTAGTAAACATCGCCGCTGGGGAGACAAAGGCGGCCGCGCGTGGTACTGGCCACTCACCCCCTCGTGTGCCTTGCCGGCATTCATAGGCGCTACTCGCTAACAGCACTCTTGCCCCAAGTTTGTTGAAGGCTATACGGGGGATCGTTGTCTTTTATAGTCCCGGTAAACATGGATGTTGGGGAAACGTTGGTCCAACGGTTCAAACCACATACCAATGTTGGCACAACGTTGCCATGTTTACTGGGGTGGTGGTTGTGATGATGACACTGGTCAGGGTTTTAATTATCGTGATGTGTCAAGTGAAATGCTCTACTTATTGATTTAAGTGATGGGGGGGGGGTGTTGTTGATGATGATGGTGGTGATAGTTTGTGATGATTGTGGTGGCGATAGGGCTGCCACATTTCCCACTAGACCAAACCCAGACATATTTGTCAGTGGGCACTCGGTCTGGCGTCAAAACCGCAAAGTTCACAGCCGGCCGATAAAGTTGAACGCAGCAAGACCGGTACCAGAGCACGGGACACACCAATTCCTGCTGCCCGAACACAGACGCCGATTCCCGTACAGGTGGTGATGATCAGAATCTGAATTTTTATTTCGACTGCAGGAGGAATCCGATGAGCTATGAAGCTCTTCTTCACAGACGTCAAGTAGGGGGGGGTCAGCGAGTTACAACAACAAAAACACGACGCTGCTACTCTGATGAACGAGATACATTTGTGTCAAGCGAAGATAATGATGATGGTGGTGGCGGCAGTGATGTATAAAATGATGATGGTAATAAAGACAACGCCATTGTATTTTGAGCATGGGTTATAGTGGTGATGGTGGTGCTGTGTAGAATTCAGTGTGTACAGTATCTCTATAGTACTGCTGCTGCTGAAGCTGCTGTTGTGAATGAGCGATGATGATCGTGACGATAGTGGCGGTGCTGCTTCATGGCATGATACAGAATTATTTTATTCTGTGACGCTGCTGCTGCTGCGTTGGCAATGTTACACAACCACAATCACCAACAACAACAACGACGCATTCGACAAAAAAATAACACCGTGGCCTTAACAGGAAGATTACGTTATCCACTCTGCTTCTCTCTCGCCTCTCTCCGTATTATTAAGAAGGGGCCATTGCCCCAAACATTGCCTACTGTGTACTTTTCCATTTAAGGCCGCACGAAGTTATTGACGAACGTGAGTTTTTTTTTATACATGACACTGATGATAGACGGTGATGATTGTGGCGTTGATGATGGTGAAATTAATTATGCATTTTCATGATGATAGCGATGAATGTTGACACGAACGATACAAAATCGCGACCAATCTGCTGCGTATTGAGCTGAGCGAGGGTGATGATGTGGTAACGAGGTGGTGTGGATGTGTGTGTGTGTGTCTCGTCCTCAGTACGTGGGTAGCCTGGATGTCCCGCGACCCAACAGTCGGGTGGAGATTGTGGCCGCCATGAGGAGGATTCGGGTGAGTCTCCTCCGCGTGTCTCTCCTCCGCCTGTCTCTCCTCCACTGTCTACACCATGCCGTCCGTTGCAATGATTATGTTGATTATAGTACAGGTGGTTTTATGATGAACATGATGATGGCAACAAATCCTGGACGATGAGGAATGTATCGGCTGATATTTCTGATGATGATCGTCATTCTAATGATGATGACGACGACTGTTATGATGATGCGTCGATCAGCAGGTCGTGTGTGGTGGGGTAACGTGTGGGTAACCACACCTCTTCCAAATGCGCGCTTATCTTGCTTTGCACTGAAACGTGTCACCTTCAAAGTGGCATTGAGCTGTAAGGTGACCCACCACCTCGCAAGGGCCATCAGCCAGGTCTCCCTCCCCCACGCGGTGCCGGCCGTGGGGAGGGTTAGTGTTGTTTAGTCATACTTCACCACGCTGGTCAGTGCGGGTTGGCGAAGGGGGTGGTGGTGGTGGCGGTGGGGACACTCGGCACCGGCTCCAGACATCAACTCGCCACTGACGTTAGCCGTGGCCGGGAATCAAACCGGGGAATTCCGTGTTCGCAGGGCAGTGCACTAACCACTGCGCCACCGCTCCCCCCCCCGCACTACATATACAACGTGTAGAATGAATACCAGGGCTGTAGCACACGTAACAAACACAGTTGTGTCTATTGATGTGGAGATCGGAACTCTTCCACGTGATCTGCACCATGCCTTTCCGAGTGGCGCCCCGGCTGTAATGTGTTACTATTCCGCGTGGTCACCAGTGCGTGCATGACAAAATAACAACGGGTGAGTGGACGGGTAGGATCACCTTTGCCTGTGAGCAGATAAAAACTCATTGAGGGCAGAAGCCTTGTGTTCCGTGAACACCTGGGGGTTTCTTTGTTAACCTAATTACCTAATTACTTTGTCGATGTTGGGGGGGAGGGGAGTGGTGGTGCAGAGGTTAGCGCACTGTTTTAATAACGCGGCAACCAGATTGACATTCCCGGCCACGGCTAACGTCACAGTACACGAGGAGGGTCGCTCCCCGCCCTCGTTTTTTACCCAGAACCCTCCTCTTTCCGTTGAAGAGGCAGCAGCAGCAGCTATCCTGGGTAGCAGCTCTCAATCTTCCAGGGACATTAAAGTGTCGGTTACAGAACGATCGCAGTGCAGTGCGGTGCTGTAAATCACAATAATACACAATTCAAGACGATGCATGGAGATGTAGCTTTCCACTCCGATACTGTGAGATTATCCTTAACTATTAACCAAGCATTCATATTTTTTAACTTTTTCCAGACAAGGCCCCACTGAGCTGTATAAGGTCTTTGTCAGATGCCACCTGTCCACAGTTGATATCTAAACGAAATGGCTTAGCACATAGCATCAGCTCAAATACTCTTAAATGCACGTTTCTTTTTCCCACGATGCATCCCGGTGTTTAATTTATTTATTTTATAGCTGGGAGGTGTGCAACCCATGCTGACCATACTTCACAAAGGGGTCAGTGCGGATTAGCGAGGTCCTCTGGGTCTCTACGAGATTCCTCAATCCATCTCCATCCCCGCATATCTGCCAGAGGCATCTTAACACCGTGGTCTTTATTTTTGGTGTGATGTTGCATTGGCAGTGATGCACAAATAAGTCTCAACGCAGCAGCAGCAGCAGCAGCGTCATCATCATCCATCAATAACAACGTCCCTTAATATAAATATATATGCGGCGACGTTTCAGGCAAATGTCCCTTGTTCGTAGAAAATTGATCCATACCTGAGTGGCGTAGGCATCACCCAGCACCCTGTAGGGGTCACGCACTCATTGAAGTCGTCTTTCATTAAACCCCTCGCTCGCTGCGGCGGTGACGTGCAGATGGACGTTGAACATCAGCCGCACAACAAACACGGCGGTGACGCTGCCGGCCGAGGCGGTGACGCTGCCGGCTGCACAAAAATCTAGCAGCCTCCTACCATTGTTATTGAGCTGTGTTTGGCCCATGCCTTGTGAGGACGTCCTCCACGGGGCTCAATGGCAAAATACAAACCTCGACGTCAACTTTTCTGATGTCATATTCAAACAGGTCCTCACAGAGACCCAGTTAGGGTTGGTGTCCTCAACGGATTTCCCCCAGTCGAAAGCACAGTCGGCATGCACTGCTGTAAGCATAGCGTGTGGTGAGTATATGGATCTCTGTGTGGTGACCGCCTCGGCCGGCATTGTCACCGCCGGCCACGGTGGTGGAGGCAGTGGTGGCGGTGTCTCTCCCACTGGCAACTTCAGGAATTCACTTTAAGGAGTGATCCCCCCCCTCCGCCCACTCTGCCACCCACCTTGTGTAGTAAACACGTCGCTCTGTCTCTTACATTCTTCTGTTGCGGGGGAATCGTCGACGGGAGATACGCCGCCGTGATCAGGGCGCTTGAACGCTGTCAGCACCCAGGCTGGGAGCGTCACGGCACCCACGCTCTGTCTCGCTTGTACTGTCTTCTCGCTCTCGTTACCATTGTTCAGTCTCGCTTGTACCGTCAGTGGTCTCGGAGAGCTCTCACAACGAGCAATTATCTCAAGTCAAGGAGTTGCCCCCACCCACCTCCCCCGTTCACTCGGTGAGCAAACAAAACAGCAAACAGGGGGCGAGATTAAACAGCCCCGACCACATCATCATCGTCGTCGTCACCATCCCCACGTGTCGGCCGCCTGCGTCTCCGTGTTGACTCAGCTGCCGCGGGAGAGACGGGGAGGGGCAGCGAGCGACCCCACGAGACGCCGGCAGTGAGGAGGAGGAGGAGGCGACATCTCTCGCTCCAACCCCTTCCTCGTGTGTTTTTTTTACTCCGGTCGAGTGTTCAAGCACTGGCTGGGGTATTTTCGTGCCACCTTCTCCTCCTCGCTCTCTCTGTTGTCTCGGCGAGATCGTTCCGTGGGACGTTTTTAACACTTTCTAAGCAGGGGCGCAGAAAGATGTGGCCACTTGAGGCACAATGGCACTCCCAAGACAGAGAGGGCAGTGGAAATAAGTGACGAGGTGCGCAGTGGGACAGATCTCCTCCGGGCTGTCTGCCCACGGATCGTCATGATGATGACGGAGCAGAGGACCAGAGGTCCAAAACGTAAAGCGGCCAGCAACAAACGGCACCCTTAAAGTTTTAGGTTTTACAATAGGTTTCTTTGTTGATTTGAGCGAGGTTATGATTGATTGTAAGAGCTTGTGGGGACAAGAGACGATGACGAGGATGTTGATGATGACGACGACGGGAGGAGGAGGGTTGTAGCAGAGAGAGAGAAGTGGGCTGACTCGCAGCGTGGAGAGAGTGCGAGAGTGAGCAGGTGGGTGGGTGAGTGTGAGTGGGTGGGTGTAGGATTGAGTGAGTGGTTGGGTGAGTGAGAGTGTGTGCGTTGTGTGTGTATGCATGTGTGCGGGCATTTTGCTGGCCATCCACCTACTCGTGTGCTGTGGCGGCCGTCATACATGCTACTCGCTAATAACACTTGCCCCAAAAGTCTGTGAAGACTATACGGGGGATCTTTGGCTTTGTCGTGTATGTGAGTGCGTGCGTGCTGAGCGTTGTTGTGACCTGCAGTCTGGTGGTGGTTGAACACAGTGTGGTGGTGGTGATGGTGGTTGAACACAGTGGTGGTGGTCGTGGTTGTAGAACGCAGTGGTGGTGGTTGTAGAACACAGTGGTGGTGGTGATGGTGGTTGAACACAGTGGTGGTGGTCGTGGTTGTAGAACACAGTGGTGGTGGTTGTAGAACACAGTGTGGTGGATGAGACGGAGTCGTCAACACGTGTGGAGGAGGAGGAGTCCGCGAGTGAGGTTCACAGGAAGAGTCGCCACTCACCACGGGAGTGGCGATTGAAGAGTGGCACGGAGCAGACTGCCCGCCCACGAGTGAACGAGTGAGTGACTGTGATTACTGAGTGAGTTGCTGGTTCATTAACTCCCCCTCAATGATCCAGTCAAAATGCACAGTGCAGCCGCTTTGTCAATCCACTGCTGGATGAGAGGCTTCTCACGCCTTTGCAAGTCACGAGGGTTGTTTGACCATACTTCACCACGTTGGTCAATCAGTGCGTGCGGGTGAATGGAGGGGGTGGGGGCAGTGGGTAGAGCAGGACAGGTTCACGCATTTCAGTACTTACCACTGATGGTAGCCGTGGCTTGGAATTCTATACGTACAAAGATATATTCATATATACAAAGATCCCTTCCATTACCGGAAATTAAAATTACATTGTAGTACATCCACCCATTAGCAGCCTACTGGAACGTTCAAATTATTTATTTCAAAAGCATTCGATTGAGCCAGGGCTTTACTCAAACACAGCGCGTGCCTGATGACTGGTAAACTCGTCCCAATGTGGTGTGGACAACCTGATTGAAATTGACACCGAGAATTATTGTGAATCTATAAAATGTGCTTCATGATTATAAGTGACACAAGTCAGGGCGGCCGGTCTCAAGACGTCAACATTAATTTAAAAACCCCACAGTGAAGTTCCTCTGCTAAATATCAAAGAGCTTTGTTGGGGGTCTCGGGGGCGGGGGGAAAGGGGGGGTCATCGCCTCCACCTCCCTTGGATCCGCCACTGTGTACGTGTGTACGTGTGTGTGTACGTGTGTGTACGTGTGTGTGTGTGACGCACACACGCGTGCACGCGGGTAGCGGTAGTGTAGTGGTTAGCGCACTGTGTACGTGTGTGTGTACGTGTGTGTGTACGTGTGACAAAAAGACAAAGATCCCCCATATAGCCTTAACAGACTGTAGGGGCAAGTGCTGTTAGCGAGCACCTATGAAGGCCGGAACGGTACACGAGGGGGTGGGTGGCCAGCACCACGCCCGACCGCCTTTGTCTCCCTAGTGGCAATGTTTACACACCGCACCAGGTACTCATTTGAGGCTGAGTCGACCTAGGGGAGGCCCAGGACCGGTTCAGATAATCGTCACTGGTGTCGGCCGTGAGCGGGAATCGAACCCGCGTCGCCAGGTTCATAGCGCAGCGCGCTAACCGCT